GTCTACCACAACTGCTTGAACATTTTAAGGAGGGAAAGATAAGTTTGAGTTCTTACAAAAGATTTTATGGGTAAATTGTAATTCTCTCTGGTCAGAAATTTTAGGGAGAATAATTTGTCAGTTGTCTTATCAATGTCCTGAAGAGCTGAGCACCTGAAGGCAGGGAGCACTGAAGGCCATCTTGGTGACCTAAGATACTGATCTTCAGGTGTTTCTTGATTTGGTGCCCTAACAGTAAGGATAGCGTGAAATATCAAAAAAGACTCAGAACAGAGATCGAAAAGAACATTTTGAGTGACTTGGTAAGTGAGAGGAGGAACGGGCCATGGATCATTGGGATGTCTTACATATTTTATTTCTTTGGATCCTATCAAAGAATACCCCCATGAGATTGGTATCTTCTGCACCATTTTATAGAAGAGGAGAGCACAATAGCAACCAGCTAACGAACTTGCCACTGTTATGCAGCCATGACATTGTTCTTTCTGTTTGGGGGCCCTGATCTCTCCAGCCCCAAAGCCCATGCTCTTTTTTTGGTGTGCTGCTCTGTGGCCTTGTATTGGAGAGGTCAGGAATGGGGAACCTCGCAGAATCATAAAGCCGTCTACTCATGTAGCATACTCCGGGCACTGTGATGAGTACTTTGAATTTATCACTACTGGAAATTCTCCCACCAGACTTGGGAAGAAGCTGCTGTTATTTGCACTTTATAGATGAGTAAATGACGTTAAAAGAGACTTAATGGCCTCACATTACAAAACGAGGGCACACAGAAGTCAACTGACAGCAAACAGAGAGGGAGGACTTTGCCGAGAAGGGGATACTGTGCTGAAAACCATCTGCATGGTTGGCACAGATTGAGGAATTTTAAACATTAAAGTGTTAGTTGGAGGTTTTTTCTTCTCCAGATAAAAAGCAACTCTCTTCTATTCATTCACAGGACTGAATCTGAAAATACACATAACCAAATTCAAATCCGATAAACAAATTCCAACACAAACTGCGTAATTAAGGCTATTTTTATGATTAGCACCATTTAGTTTCCCTGAATTTGCCAGAGCAAACATTGCTATAGCAAAAATTACTGCTAATGGTGGAGCCTAACAACAAGAGAAAAATCCCCCAAAGGATCACCTAGGCCCCAGCTACAGCTGTGCTTCACTATATTTCTTACTTGAAAGCTGAGAGCTAGCAGGAAAGTTAGGCGCTGCCATGCTATGCAGTGTAGCTAAGACTATTAATTTATTCGGCAAACATTTCTTGAGTGCCTCCTGTGTGCCATGCAGTGTGCTAGCCACCCTGGCATCGAGGGAATAAACCCCACCCAGCATTCTCAAATAGCCAAGTTTCATGTAGCAGCAACAGAAAGGGTTGAATTAGAAGAGTCTTAAGGCTGCATCTTCATAGGATGTGCTGGGTAGATAGATATTCACTTCTGATCACTGAGGTGGGAGGGGATCCAGTTATATGAGGAGAACAGAGGCCTGGACATTTTCTGGGGTACAAGCTGGTGTCTGTTCCAAAACCAGGAATACAAGAGGAGGAGCAAGTTTATGGAATACAGACATTTTACTTCATAAATGACTGACCCATTTGCCTATAAAAGATTCTAGTGGCGAGGATGTTTAGGACATCATATTGGCAGGTATGAGACAGATTTGGAGAGCTTTAGCATGTTGCTGTTACAGTGTTAGTACCAGCAGCAGCAACAGCTGCAATTGCTCATTTTGAGCACCTACCCTGTGCCAGGCTTTGTGTTAAACATTTTTTTTTACAGGGAGCCATCTGATTTAATCTTATGACAGCCTTGTTATCACAGAGCCAGGATTTGAACATAGGCCTAGGAGACTTCAAAACCAAGATTCTTTAATCGGTCGCCACTTAACCACCTCCCCAGTAGAACAGATCGGTCTGTTCCTCTGTGCAACACGGGCTCAGATCTGTGGCCTTCCTGTGTGTTCAGACCTCTAGTGTATCCACGCGCTTCTGCCCCCACCGGCCAAAAGTTACATGTTTACTAAGAGGCAGAACAGTTCTATTTATTATTAGAATCGTGTATTTTAATGAAATATTTAATCTGTAAGTAATATGAATATAAAGGGAGTGTGTCTGTGAAAATGAGATAAAATGCTTAGGGAAGCTTCAGTAAAGAAAATTAGATGTGAGAAGGAAATGTAAGAGATATAATCCATGGACACCTAGTGGAATTTTGCATTCACTTTGCCTTGTGGTTTTTGTGCATTTTAAGACACTGCAGTCATTCTACAGACTGTATGCTGTAGTTCTGGTTTACATAAGAAAGAGTGCGTGAAATAATCAGTCAGCCGACCCGGAAGCTAAATCTTTTGAAGGAGATTTCTTTGCACTCACCCAGGGTGAGCATGTTATGAGAGGAAAGAAGAGGATAAGAACTTTGGAGCTCATCAGAGACACTCTTCAAAACTTCAAAGTGAACTGAATGATAATGTTCAAAGATGTAGAGGGGGAATCTCAACACAACAGGATTATGCACTGGGGTTTTGTCGGGGGAAATACGAAAGGAATGCATTTCTGTTTTTTTATCTGCCAAGCTTTTAGCTAATGTAGACTCCAGGCAGCATCGCCTAGGACAAAGAGCATGGGCTTTGGAATACGTTAGATGTAGCTTCAAGCACATAATTGAATGTCTAACCTTGGATAGAGTCTTTGTGTTTCAGTTTCCTCAAATTAAGATGCATAGTAATAACCTATATCATCCAGTTTTTAAAGAAATGTGCCATATCAGGCACACAGTAAGTCACAAAAATAATTGTTATTCATTTTTTGCCCCTTTTTGGGGGGCTATTAAAAAGTGTAAGGTAATAAGCAAGAAGGCAGACAAAGAGATGAAAAGGCACATGCACTGTCCCCCTCACTCCTTACATGAAGAACTATTCTTGCCCCGTTTAAAGTGCATTTGCAGGTTGGGACCAAGAATTCTTCAAGAGTCTGTGTACGAAAGATGTTGGAACTGGTCAGGAATAAAGATAAGGAACTGGATGCCGATGGGATACTTGGTTGTAGCAGTTGCTTTTTTTTGGTACATCATTGTCCATCTTCTATAAACTTCACATTCAGTTTGTCTAATTTTGAGTTTATGGAATTCTGCTAACCTATCATTCTATGTAATTTATATCACTTGCAGATTTACCATGAAAGTAATGTCTATTTTCAAAGAAGATAAAAGAATCAGACGCACACATTATTCTTAGTCTACTAGATGTAACCTTTAAACCGTGGGAGTTTGAGGCTCTGTAGTAAATGCCTCCTTTATTGTAAAGCCAGTTCAGGGTGGGAACAGTGAGCAAGAACAGAACAAGAGTTTTTAAACACCCTATCCAGAGCCTCTGATAAGTAATCAATATGATCAAGACAGTAAAAGAGACATATCTATCCTCAGCATGCTTATAAGGCTAATTAGAAAAAGCAATATTAGTAAATAAAAAGATGAAATGAAAAAATAAGTATTTTAGCAGAATTGCAGGTAATTTGGATATTAGGACAGAAAGAAAATTAGCAAAGTCAAATAAAAGAATCAAGAGGAAGACTTCTTAATAACTTATATTTATGAAGATAATGTACATTTCAACTCATTTTTAAAATGTGCTACATCATTATCAGACTTTAAATTTAGCTTAAGATTTTATTGAGCCACTCAATGATATTCATCAAATTGATGATATAGAAGTAAATTTTATATACCTGGTTAGGCCCTCATAATAAAAGTGTTGCTGTGCTGCTAGTTATAATTATAGGGTTAAAAACTCTCAGCAAGGTTTCTTGAGATTATGCATGTGCCAGCACTGCTGCTAGATTCCAACGGATTAACATCAGCTGGATTTATAAAGTTCCTGTTGGTTCTAAATACATATAGAAATTAGAGGTGAATTAATTTACAGACTATCACAGAAAAGAAAAATGTATCAAATCTGGAATAAGAGTTCTTTTAAGATTTGTAGGATCTAATTATACCAAAAGTGGGAGCTCTCTGGAACCAACCAACCCCACGCTTCAGCTACCTTTCCTGTCGGGGCCTAGGACACTGGGGATGGTATTTATAGCTTGGACTTTTAAAATCTGGTTTCGGAGGAGTCCTAGACTTCCAGGTACTTTTACACAAATGCCACCCAAGTCAAGGTCTTCATGATAATAACCTCTGTGTGGGAAGTAGAGTCTGAAAGATGCTGAGACAGTTAGTTTATTGTGATCAATGGTCCTGGGATCCCTTACTAGAAATTGTGTCTACTTCTGGGCTCCATGATTTAAGAGAAATGTGGAAAACTTAGAATCAGACTGCTGGCTCTGGCCAATTGTTAATCACGTTACAACGTGCCTATGTTGGCAGGTCATTGGCTTTCTCAAGAAAAACTGGAAACCTAGAATATTCTGTGAATTTTTTTTAGCATTGACAAAATGCTAAGATTTATCAAAGTACTCTGCAGGCAAAACAGTATACTCATGTGGACTGTAAATTTAGAAACCTTGGGGTCATCCTTTAGGTCAGTAGTTAACCACATTAGTTAAATAAGTGAGACAGAATGATTGAATTCTAAAGCTTAGGGGAGTTCATCTACTAAACTTTTGCAGGGTTTAATTACGGTTCCTTTCAACTCTGAATCTTTTGATCTCCCCTTCCTTTTTTCTGTGCACCTAATATTGGGCGACTAGAAATTGTGTCGTGGGTGGTGAGAATTTAAAGGAATTATTTTACTTAATAAAACTATCAAATACTTAGATTAAAAACAATGCTTGTTGCTATACTAGAGATGCTGCTGATGATAGTAGCTTTTGAGAAATGCTCCTACACAGACAGAATTTTGGAACTAACATTTGTTTATAACATTGGGTGCATGAGGCATGCTGGACTTAAAAGCCTACTTACACTTTTACCACTTCATTTCTCTTCTATAAAAAATATTTTCAAATCACCCGTCTCTCCCTGTGGGAGGGCGACTAGAGTTCTGAAACCCCCTTCCTTCCAGACAGGAGAATATGCCACCGATGAAGAGGAGGATGAGGAAGGAACCACCCTGCCCAGCAGTGACGTGGCCATTGAAGTCTTTGAGCTGCCTGAGAACGAGGACATGTTCTCCCCGTCAGACCTGGACACGACCAAACTCAGTCACAAATTCAAAGAGGTAAGCTGCTGGTCTTCAAAGCACTTTCTAATCCCATCCATTCAATTACTAAGTATTTATGTTTGTTTGAAAAATGTAGTAAGATTTGTCAGTTTTCAAAATGGAGCCTTTTTATAAAGGATTGTCTTGAATCGCCTTGAATTCCAAGGTAAATTTTAAGTGGATCTTGTTCCCGTAATCATTCATTTAAACCCTCGTTATTTGTCATAGTGACAGCTTACCCCTTGCCTATTCCATAATTTCAAGCTGTAGTTTAAATGTGCAGTTTTCATGATAAGTTCATGTTATATTTTTTCCCAGTTTTAGAGAGATTTGGGGACCTGGTAATAAGCTTTCCTCGAAGACAGCGGTTTTAAAAGTTGTTGTTTTTCCTTTTCCTAAAATAGACAAGGTCCCAACAGCAGTCAGATGACATAACCAAATGGTTTAATTGAAGCAAGTGTAGTGAATGAACTTCGAACAAAGCTAGTGGAACTAACCAAGGGAAGGTGAAGCTGTTGCTGGCTTGATGGTAAAGAGGGAGGTGACCTTTTTGGAAAGAGGTCCATTCAACATCTGCAGCTTTGTAAGATGCAGCCACTGCTAAAAACTGCACCTTGGGGTCAAGGGCGATGTATACCCAGTTCCTTCTCTCTTTCTGTTGTTACCTTCCCGGGTCTAAGACAGGCAGGGCAGTCTGAGAGATGCCGTCTTGAAACCTGAAATCAGTGCTCTCAAGGCAGGAGCTGTCTGAAACTACTCAGAACCCCAAGACCTAAAGGGAGATAGTGGTGAATGGGTCCTCCTTTGTGAAGACAAGAACAGAAGGTTATTGTTTACGGCCTCCCCAGATAACCAGGAAGCACCGAGGCTCGAAAACCACTGCTGTGGTTTCAAGTCTGGCAGGGACTTGACCACTTCTGGGGGCGGGGGAGAGGGAAAATGTTGTCCTATACTTAAAAGTAAATTTGAGAATTGCAGATTTGTGATTACTAATTTTATTTGTGATTTCTAATTTTCATTTGTAATTTTTAATTTTACTATATCATAAATAAGTCAAGTTTATACATTCTGACGTTATGCTCTATATGCCTAAAATGTTGACTTGCCCTTGCCGGTTTGGCTCAATGGGTAGAGTGTCAGCCTGTGGACTGAAGGGTCACAGGTTCGATTCCGGTCAAGGGCACATGCCTCGGTTGTGGGTTCAATCCCTCATAGGGGTGTGCAGGAGGCAGCCAATCAGTGATTCTCTCTCATCACTGATGTTTCTTTCTCTCTCTCCCTCTCCCTTCCTCTCTGAAACTAATTAAGATATATTAAAAAAATAATAATAATAACTAAAAAATAAAATGTTGACTTACCTTTTTAATTCCTGTGACAAAATTTACATCTTTGAGACCAGTATTAAGGTGAATATACTTTTCAAGTATAAGATTTTATGTAAAAAAAATCACACACAAACCAACAAACTTAAGTTCATTTTAGAGTTTTGGAAAATGCAAAATTATATAAATATAAAAAAAATCTCTCATAATCCCAATGTTGTGGTATTTGGAATTAGATAATATAGAGTGTGTTAAATTCCTATTCTTTATATTTAAATTTGTAGTGTTAGGATTTTCCCATGTCACCAACATGATCTTCCATAACTAATGCCACTTCACTATTTCATCTTATGAATTTTTAAAAATATTTTATTGATTTTTTACAGAGAATAAGGCAGATAGAGAGCTAGAAACATCGATGAGAGAGAAACATCGACCAGCTGCCTCTTGCACACCCCCTACCGGAGATGTGCCTGCAACCAACGTACATGCCCCTGACCGAAATCGAACCTGGGACCTTTCAGTCCACAGGCCGACACTCTACCACTGAGCCAAACTGGTTTCGGCTTACGAACTTTTCTTGATTTATCTTTCTAATTCCTTTTTTGGGAATTTTTTTTTTTTTTTACTTCCAGATCTTATGATTATTATTATTAAAAGTAAAATTGCAGTAAATCCCTTCGCACTTGTCTTTAGGATAATTTCTCACCCTGGAATTATTAAAGAATATGGATATTTGGCAGGCTTGTGATATTTAATGCCACATTGAGCAAAATGGCTTTTTTGGTTGATGCAGAAATGTGCTTATGAGTTGAGAGTGTCCATTCCTTTTCACCCATTATTACTAGGTGGAACCATTTCCATCCATACAGTCCACAGAGTCCTTGAGGCAAAACACATGGATTTTTCGTATGATTTATGGCCATTCCTAGTTCTAAATCAGGTGTGACTGTCTCAGTACAACAAAGTACACCATTCTGTAATGATCACAAAACTCAGCATTCCCTTGCAGCCGTGCCTTTCTTAGGACCATTTCTTATAAGGGATTTCTAGATTAACGGACACCTTCAAACCAAATGCCACACCATTTCACTTCTAATGTATTGATTTTCTTTTCTTTTATATGTAGCATTAACATATTTGGGAGATTGCCATTGAGGACCAACTCCATGGCACTCTGACACAGCATCTGTATCTTGTGCAGCGCCACTGTCAGTTTTGACTTTGGGTATGTGGTTAGCATACACGCCCCAAAGCTGTGTAGCACCGGATATTTTTCATAAGATTATGCACAAAACTTGGGGTGGAGGTGGATAGTCATTTTCTATTGGAATCTGTACGAAGTTTCATAGTATTACAGAGGCTTCTCTTAATTACATTATTTCAAGCAAAAGTACATGGCATGCTATTTGGGCGAAGCACTTTACACTGACACCTCAGTCAGTGCTGCTTTTGGCCTGTTCTCTTATCTTCCCTCGTAGCCCCTTGAGCTCCTCTGGCTTTGCTCACTTTTGTACCCTCAGCCTTTGCACAGTCCTGGGCAGATAGTGGCTAAATATTTGGTGAATGAATGTTATCAAGCATGAACTGGAAATTTTTTGTGTATAACAAGACAGGTACCTTAGCTCAATTTATTCAAATAGTTAACAAGATGACTCACACTTTCCTTAAACACTAACTTATTTACCCCTTTTCTGTTGTTGGAGGTTCAGCATTATTAGCTACTGAATTTGTGTTTTTACACTTTGGGCTGCTTTTGGCCTTTATTTTGTTTCGTTTTTCTCATTCTTTGCTGAAATATTATTAGAATATGTATTAAACATTGATGGAATAAATCCATTCTATCTAACTTCAGATATTCCTTTACTTTTCAACTTGTCCAAGAAAACATATAAATCACTTTATTAATTCCCTTGGAAAAAAACTTCTCCGTAATTTTGATTTTAATTACATTAAACCAGTAAATTAACTTGCAGAAAACTGGCATTTTTATCACGATGACTCTCTTAATCCCAGCTTATGGAATATAACTGTTTAATTCAAGTTGTTGTTTTTTTCTGATCTCTAAAAATTTATAGTCCCCTTATTAGTTACATAAGTGCCCACCTGTAACAGAAAGTCTTCACTAGAGTGGATTAACCAAAAGCTGCCACATAGGTTATATTCGCTTTGATATAAGTTAACAAGGTTTCTTTACTTTCTATTCTCAGAAATGACTTTAATAAGAGACTTAATGACTTGCATAAGGTAGAAACTACTGTTCCCTGAAAGTTTGTCATTACCCAGCTATAAAACCATCTGTGCCTTTGTGGAGGAATGTTTTAAATACCTTTTATAACTCAAGGTTTCAGCTTTTTCTTGGGCCAATTTTGATATATTTGCATTTCTCAAGAATGCATTTCAAATGTATTTCTTAGGCATTCATATTTATTAACACATTTTGTAATATTTTAAGTTACTGAAATCTTTAATATCTATAATTAGTTACTCTTTTGTTCTTTTCTTTATTTGAATAGTTTCACTTTTTGTGTTTTTTTTTCTAGAATTTTATCTGTAATGTTATCTTTTATATTCCTATTTTATTTTTAAATTAAAAAATATTTTTAAAAATTTTAAATACTTATTACTTCTTACGAAAATCTTTGTCATCCTATCACCTTTATTGGTATTAATCAATTGGGCTTGCTATATTTATTTTTGTTAACTCTTGCATTCTGTAAGTATTTGTAATTATAATTTACATATATAATTTTTTCTGAATAGTGTTTTAGCTACATGTCACAATTGTTTACATGTAGAATGCCATTATCACTTTGACCTATTTTCTTTTAGGATTTGTTCTTTAACAAAAATTATTTAGTGGATTATTTTACTTTCTATACATATGGAACTATATTTTGCTATTCTAACTCTGCTCAGAAAAGATATTCCAAATAATAGCTGTTTAGAATTTTCAAGGCTTTTGTAGCTTAAATCATAAACAGGTTTGTTGAAATATTCCTCATGGATGCAAAAAGCATTTATATTCTGTGTTTGGGTGTGAAAATTATGTTTTTCATTTACATAAGAGTAATAACACAAACACATTTTTCTATAGCCCAGTTTGCATTTTGTCTTATCAACTAATTCTGAAAAGCATATGATAAATCAAAAGCTACAGTTTTTTCTTAAAAATTCTGTCAATTATAGTTTTATATATTTTAAATATTTGTTGCTATGTGCATAGATGTTCAGGATTGTTACAACTTCATGACTTATTGTAACACCTGTCTTGTAGCTTATGATGCATTTTATCCCAAATTCTGATTTATCTAATAGTAAAAATTCAACACTGCCTTTCTTTTTCTTCATAAATCTTCAAAGCATTTATTTTCTATATATTTTTTTATTTTTAGTCATTCTGTACCTTCTTATTCAAATCTGTTTTCTTTAGTCCACCTATTCTTAAATTTTGTCTTTGTACTAACTACCCTGGGAGTCTTTGTCAGTTAATTGGTGAGTTTAACCTATTTATATTTACTTTGATCATTTTAAAATTAGAACTTAAATCTTCTGAATTATTTCATATTTTACAACTCCCGTGTTTTCTTCTTGTTTTTGTTTTATCTGTTTACCTATTTATCATTAGATACATAAAATTTTCATCTGCTGCCTACAAGTTAGACGTTTTATTCTATTTTTCTAGAGATTTTTTTC